AAACGAAATTGTTGAAAGTAATGGTAATTTATTTAAGGGATCTAAAATTATTGTAACAAAAAAGTTGAGGAAATAAATCATTCAGAAAATTTATTTAGGGCATTTTGGAATTACAAAATGTAAAAATCGTGCGAAACAATCTTTTTTTGGCCTAGTATGTGTAGAGAAATAGAAGATACTGTCCTGAATTGTAAAGTATGTCTCAAAATCAGAGTGTCAAATCCAAAAGAAGAATTAGTGATGTATGACATTAAAACAATTCCATGGTATAAAATCGGGTGTGAAATTTTGTATTTGGGAAGTAAAATATATTTACTTGTAGTAGATTATTACACCAAATGGGTTGAGGTTATACCATTAGATGAAAACGCTCACTCTCTTACCATTGTTGAGAATCTGAGAAGTTTATTCGCAAGACTAGGTGTATCAGTTATATTAATTTCTGATGGTGGCCCTCAATTCAATTCAAGTCACTTTCGAGAATTTGCTGAAACGTGGGACTTCAATGACATTATGTCCAGCCCTCGATATCCTCAGTCAAATGGGATGGTGGAAAGAGCGAAACAAACTTTGAAAAAAATGTTGGTAAAAGCATTTGAAGATAGGAGTGAGATAGAGTTGGTTTTGTTAATGTATAGAAACACTCCCATGGAAAATGACTTTACACCATCTCAACTGATGATGCCTTGTAATTTAAGGGATACATTACCAAGCACTGAACATAATTTGAAACCACAAAATATCAATTTTGAAAATTATAATAAGTCATTAGAACAGCAAAGACAAAAGCAAAAACAATACTATGATAGTTCTTGTAAATATTTAAGTCCTTTGAATATAAATAGTAAAGTGAGATATCAAACTCATTTAGGATCAAAATGGTCGTTTGGTAAAATAACAAACAAACCTAGAGAACGCTCATACGGCATAGATAAAAATGATGGAACAAATATCATAAAAATAGAAGATTCATTGAAATTTAGCCAAGTCGTAATGATCCACCGTCTGACAATAATGATATCGATATGACTGATCAAGATGAGTTTGAATTTTCATCTTTGTCCAATAACAGGAGTTACTGCTACTCTAATCCAGAAGCAACATCATCTAGTAGACCAGTTAAGAAGCCAGACAGGCTAATGTACTATTAAAATGTTATTTTGATTATTTTTTTTATTTTAATTTCATTGTTTTATATAAAAAAAGGGAAATGTCACGTATTGTATTTCTTATTCTCAGTCAATATATTGTACACCATGTAAACATAATAAATCGTAGCAGCCTTGGCGGAAGCAAAAGCTAATAGTTCAGCGTTTTTTATGTAATTGACTTGAGAACTGAAATAAAAACAGTGAATTAGAAATCGTCGTTTTATTCAGATACATAACAGGAGAGATGGAAGTGAGCATGATTCTAACCCAAACGAAAATGCTAGGTATGTCATCCAAGTCTTATACTTTATATAAAACAAGTTTCTCCAAAGTTGAGCTGAAGAAGAGCTAAAGAAACTGTTGAAACGAAATGGATTAATTCAATACTGGGTGGTGGTTACGCACTCCGAAATCATAGGCAACGAAAAAGCTAGATACGGATCATCAGCTTCATATATCGGTCAATAATCAGCTGTGGGGTACCATAATATGGTATGGCAGTGGATCAGGAAACGGACCAATGAGAAACATGTAGAGAATTGGGAAAATGCATCTAGAAAGACACATGGACACATACTCACCCTCAAAATCCAAAAAACTATCATCTGGTGACGACTCCGGCGAGCAGAGGGAAGAGGCGGTTCCGTGCCGCCGCACCCGTTGACCGATGGTGGCAGCCAGCGTGTTGTTGATGTTCACCAAGTGGTTGTTGCGGTAGTTGATCGCGTTGTTGGTTAACTCCTGGTTCTGCACCTCTTGGTGAGAGGGGTTGCACCATTGCACCTAGCGAAATTATTAGTTAGTTGCCGAATACATTACAAGATTGCTTTTGAACAAGTTCAATTTTCAAGAACACCTTACTTAGGTTTTGTGCAGTGTGAATTGGTTGAAAAATGACAATGTTATCTTTGATAAGTAGTGACGATGGTTTTACCATCGTCGTTGATGATATATGTTTATCTTTGAAGGATAGCTTACTATGATCACATAATAATGTTGTGATTGGAAAGTAATTTAGATGGTTACGACATTATTATTCATGGAATAAATGCCCATTATAATTGTTCTCCCCACCATACAAGTCAAATTAATACCTTAGAAGTCCCGCAAAATCAAAACTATCGCACAAACGTTCCAGATTATTCCCAAACATCCCAGTCATTCCAGAATATTCGGGGATGTTCTTGAATGTAGTGACTATTGTGAAATGCCGTTGAATACTTTCGAATGATCTGGACTGCTCTAGAACTGTCTAGAGGAAGAAACTTCCAGCCCTTATATCTTCAAAAGCACACATTTAGCTTATACATGTAAGTCACAAAAAGGATTTGAAGCTTTATAACTTCTATTTAATTAAATGCGAGCGCTTTCGACAGCTGGTCGTGCTATCATCATCTAAGCTCTACTCAAACTGTTTGAGTAGAATCGCACGAAACCGCAGTTGGCCCCTGATGGTGAATCCGTTTGTTGTTTTCGATTCTTTTTTTGCAACCAAGTGTTGTCCATCCTTTGCACTTGGCTGTACCGTACTGACGAAGGCTAAATAGCCAGAAACACGTGTCTGCGGTTTGCCCACTTTCGTATGAGTGCTTGTCCAAAGAATTCTTTCTCATTGATAATACCTTATCCACTCAATANTAACAACGAATTCACTCTCAACTTCCAAATTTCTGCTACCGCAGTTGTCGGCCGATTGGTCGAACCACAAACACTGACGTAAAAACCTGGCAAGTTGATTTGGGTGTCACACCATTGAATTATTGAATTGAATTGAGTTGAGGGAACATGTGTAGGACGATTCAGAAGGAATGGAAGACAACTTCATAAGTAGTGAGAAACTTATCTACATATTTATTTATTTACGGGTAACCCTCAGTTGAATAGCTATTTGGAGTATTGCAGTCACATCTGCTTTCAATTCGGATTTTTTTTCTGCTTCAACATGGTTTTATCAAAAAAAAAGGTTGATGAGTCTTTTATTTTTATCCTGAAAATATTTTTGAGTTTCATTAAATGTTTTGAATAATTCACGAATAGAAAAAAATATATTGTGATAACTTCAATAGTAACCAAGTTCCTCAAAAGCAAGTAGAACGAATATTAACTAAAAATAACGCCTCCACAAGGACTTATGAAACTTGCTGAGTGATTATTCTAACTTTCATTATCAGTTTTATGCCGTGGATATTCAGTTTATAATCATATTCTAGCTTCTTACCCATTATTGAATTATTCGTGAAAAAATCTAATGGAAGGCCTTTTCTCATACGTCAAAAATGTTAGCACTTTCCATGATACAAATTTAGTTTCGTCGACAAATTTTCTGTCATCAGAGGTTGAACTGAACTAATTTATTAGTTTAAATAAAAAAGATTAGTAGATATTGGTTATTTGGAAAATACTTCATGGCTTTTTACTTTTCAATAATAATACAAAAAACATGGGAAATATTTTCGAAGAAATAAAGAAATAAACTTTATCAAAACTCTTCATGAAAATGTGTTGATCTTGCACAAACTTTTCAGACACAAACTGGAAAAAACATAAGTGAAGAAATTAAAATAGATATTATTTTCAGGAACGCTACACAACGTAATATAACGATATTTTACTTGAAAAATTACCAGATATGGAATCCGAGGTTTCCGTCTGACGTGGATATCAAGCTTCATCAATAATCATGAACAATACGAGTATATTCAACTGAATGACAAATTTTCCGATAAGGTCGACTTTTGAATTGGGGTTCAGCAGGTATTACTCTTTGGTCCCATTTCATTTTTATTCTATACGAACGATATTGATGAGCTTGATATACCAGAATCATGCACTATAAACGTCTAATTTGTGTAATTGATGACTTGTTTATTTTGTGGAACGAAAGGCAATTGGGGCATAACTATAACAAACCTGTATCAATGGTTTGGCGCTCATTTTTCATATATGATTCCAGAAAAAACACAAAGTATTAAATTTCATAGCAGAAAGAGAGCATGTGAAAAGTTTATGTTCAGTGGCATCGAAACCAGTGGAAACTCAGTTTTTAAGGATGTATTTGGGTCAGTGCTTTTCATGGAGAAAACATTGTGAATTTCTCGATTGAACTCCATCGCATTTCAATTGCTACCTTCCATGTTTATTATGGAAGGTAGCGTTAAGATCCCTCGAAAAATTCAGGGCAAGATCAGACATTAATAATGTGAATTCCATACAAAAAGATATACCAGAAGTATATCTAAAACAAATATTTGTTACGATTCCCCACTCAGTTTAGGATCAAAATTATATAATTTATTACCAACTAAAATGAAAGGAAGTGAGTCTGAAGCACATTTCTAAAACCGTTGAAAAAGTTTCTCTTTAATAAGAGTTTTTACCCTGTGAATGACTTTTTATGATTTTGTCCATTTGTGATATAATCATGATATGTTTTTAAAAGCACATGAGAATGTGTTTGTGTATGCATGTGTGTTGTGAACTCCATTCTTTACCTTTTGAAATAAAAAACTGCTGTGAAAACTGACAATTTCTTTATTATGTAGTGTCTCAAAGATCACTATTATTATTACTATATTCCGAAAGTAAAAGGTGAAATTTGAACCTCTGGCGTCTTCAGGAGATGAAAACGGCGTCGCATTTCTGGTGATTTTGAATATATGAGTATGCGGAGTATTAATATAAATATTTCACTTTCATGAAAAATAATCAAACTTCTGAAGAAATNTTCAGAAATATGTTTCTTCATATCCAATCAGCACTATTTTGGATAATTTCATCAGATGAATTCTTGAAATTACGACTTTATGTATCACCGGAAAAGACAATACTGCTTTCGTCACGATGACAGTTTGTTAAAACATTCACACAGTTAAACAATTATGATAGAACTGACCGATACTTGATGAAAAATAATTATGACGTATTCAAAAAACACTTTATTGTGAGATTCTCACTTGAATGTTTAGAAAGCCCCGTCACGTGTTTTGCAGTACAATAGCGACGCCTTATGTTGACGTCTGAATTATCTATTACATAGCGAAACACGTGTCGCGGTTTTGTAACCTGTGAAAATCTTGTTGGAGTGCAATTCTATGTCAATTGTCAGTTCAGTTGTTCTATGATACGATTCGAGATGTATGTCGTTGTTAAGGTTTAGTGAAAAATGTAATATGGTAAAAGAACTTTACTTGAATAAATATCTACAAAATATGAAGTAATCATTATTACAAGAAGGAATAGTGGAATGCTAAAACTCTGCATCTAACAGGTTATGGGTCCAGATCGTGATATATCTGAGCGGAATTAACTGGAAGTTATTTGGCACGCAGACATTGGAGAAGTTCATCTCTGGAAGTAAATGGAAATAGAAAAAGCATGGCGACACTCAATCTGAATACACAAGTGGCAAATTTCAAACAATTTGATGGAACCGGATTTTCAAATTGGGAGTTTCGTCTGAAATTATTCTTGGAACAAAGTGATACATTGAAAGTATTGGAAAAAGATGCTCCAAGAAAAACTAGTGCAATTCAGAAAGAGAGATGCAAAGGCTAAGAACATTATAGTACAGTGACTAGCTGATAATATCTGGGAAATAGTGAAAAATAAGAAAACAGCTAAGAAAATGTATAAAACATTAAAAAACACTTATACTCATAAGGGATTGTCCATCCAAGTTGACCTGCAGAGGAAACTAAAAAATATGAAATATACCGAAGGCAGCTTAAGTTATTTCATTGGAGATTTTGATAAACCGTTATAGATTTGGAAGCTAGTGGAGATATTCTAGAAGAACCCGAAATAATATGTCAATTGCTAGCAGCAATGCCAGACAGTTATCCAGCATTGACAACTTCCATTGATTTAATGTTTAGTACAAATCTCAAAGATGTTACTCAACAATTTGTTAAAAGCAAGTTACTACAGGAAGCAATACGACAAGAAAACAATCATGGAGACGATTCTGTTGTTTTTATTAGTAGCTATAGAGGTTCTTTTCATGGAAGAAGCAGGGAACGAGGATGGTCTCTGGCAAATGGTAGAGGAAGAGGACAATTTACGTCAAATGGGAAAGGACGAGAACAATATGTGTAAAATTTCCCTTCAAATGTTATAAGTGTGGAATACCAGGACACAAACGTAATAATTGCAGAGACAGTATGCATGTAGCTGATTGTGAAAATACAGTTCCTGATGAGATAGCNTCAATGAAGATTGTGATATGTCAATTCGTCGCTGTTGCCAACAATTGGGTTCGACCACCTTGAAGGATTTTACGTGAGGACCACGATATGAAATCATACAGCTGCTGCGAGAACTGAAGCCAGATGATCTACCAGTTTTTTATTTGGTGGAGATCGAAAAATTCTCTTCAAGTACGTCAACGAATCGAATTGACAAATTTGGTTTGGAGAGCAGCCAGAGGCAGTTCGCAAGCTGCCAATGCATCCTGAAAGATGCACTCTTTGGTGCGGTTTGTGGTCCTGCGGCATCATTTGACCGTACTTCTTCAAGAACGATGAATAGCGTATCGTTACAGTCGATGGTGCAAGGTATCGTGCGATGATTACTGACTTTTTTTCTCAAGATGAAAGAATTGTAGTTGGTTAACAAGTGGTTTCAACAAGACGGTGTCGTATGCCACATGGTACGCAAAGTCATGAACCTATTGAAAGACGAGTTTGGCGACCAAATAATCTTACATTTTGGAGCAGTCCATTTGCCGCCAAGTTCATGCAATTTGACCCCACTAGACTATTTCTTGTGGGGATACGTGAGGTCTC